TGGAGAACCAGAATTGCTCTCGGTAATCAAAATCTCTCTGTACCATGGAATTATATGGGATCAGTAATTATATTTTCTGGTTTGTTCCACACTTCTCACTAAATAATTTCTGGTATTTTATTTCTATTGTTTTCCCTGACATTTGAGCCAATGTATTTGTACAACTGTTCTGCACCATGTCAGTGTTTAGTTTCTGAATTACAGTAGTCAGCTGAGAGCCCCTTGTTTTCTGTGTGAAGTTAAGACCCTTACTTCTATGTACTATTTCAATCCACAGGTTTTTAGAGGCTCTACAATAAAATCTGCTCATAAATGAAATTTTTACTGTATTATTTTTTATATATGGGTGTCTTCATACTGCACTTACTCAAGGCTAGATATAATTATTGTGTCTTTTTTATCATGATCCGTTAGTAATAGAAAATGCCCACAGAGATCTGGCAGAAAATTTCCTAGTGGAAATATATGTTGCATTAGAAAAAAGTACTTTAACTTGTGTTGATTTTATCCATTTCCCCCAGAAAAGTAAATTATATGAGTAGAATATTTTTGTGCCCATGTCAATTTTTATAACTCTGTCAGCACTAATGTTTAGACAGAATGGAAATTTTGAGAAGTCAACCATACCAAACCACACTGAGAAACTGGAATTTTTACACCCATAAGATAGATCTTTACTATCAGACATATGGCCTGACAATGTAGGTGAAGATAATCTAATGAACCTGGTTTTCATCTGGACACTACTATGAGAAAATAAGGATCTGTGTCTTTCCAAAAAAAAAAGCATGATCAAACTTGTTGTAGGAGGTATAAAATGCCATCACATTGCATACTTGTTATCTGCAGAAAGTTCATCCAGGCAACTCACCCACTAAGGGAGCAGAAAGGATGGTAAATAATGCCCAGTGCTTAAAAGTAGGGACTGTTGTGCTTGTCCTTCTGAATGATATTGTGTAAATTAAATGTTATGTTGTTGTGATGACCTTAACACATCTATCCTGTATATTCACTGAGTTCAGGACCTAGATGTTCCAGTAGAATCTATCTATTGCTTTCACAGGAAAATTTCTCAACTTCAACTCCAGAAATATTTTTTATTTTTGTTCCTCATGTTTTCAACCAATTATTCTGTTTACTATTATTGCAGTGTTTTTTTGTGTTTCAAAGGCCTATAAAATCATTAAATATTAATAATTTTAAAAGTAGCTTTCCTTCATCCCACTGATTTTCTTATTCAGCGTTAATGTTCCATTTCTTATTTTCTGACTGTCCTCATCACATCTATATATATCCCGTTCATGCAGACCCAGGGCTTGAGTCTGGAGGACATGCACCTGCATGGGGGAGATTACCTTTCTGCATGCCAGATATGCTGGTTTAGATGTGTTGAGTCCTGCTTGGAATATCAGGAGAGGTGGAGAGTCCTGTCAGGAGAGGGGTAGCTGGAAAGGGGGCAGCCCGTCTCCCCTGAGCTTGCCCTCGCCCAAGGGCTGCACAAGAACCTCAGAGACAGGTATATATGTACATGCAAATGTACAAACCCATGCGTATGTATGCATATTTTGTAGGGGTGCTAGCACATATGTATGCACACACATTAGTGTATATATGAATGCACAAGTGTATATGTGTGCATACAGTTTGTATACAGATGTATGCATGTACGCATATGTTGGTATACCTGTAGGCACGAAATCATCACTTAATTATCCTTCGGGAGGAGTTTCCAGCCCGGACACCCAGTCTCCCCACGGCTGGAGGGAAGTGTCCCCTGCCCCTCCGGCCGCGATGTCGCTGCCGGGGCTGAGGCAGAGCCCAGGAGCTCCCCCGACCCTGTCAGCTGCTGCAGGAGGAGGGAGAGGGACCCCAAATGGAGCACGGCTCCCCTTGAGCTGTGTGTTCCCCTTATTCTTGTTGGGTGTTCACACAGACACAGGTGGGTCCGGGACACTCCCACACACAGCCATCACATGGTCCCTCCTCGCAGGGAAGGGGAAAGAAAGCCTTTTCCCCGTTTTTCTTTGTAATTGGGAAAGGCTTCAGGCGCAAAGCCTTAAGAGCCTCCTGAGGTGCTTCAGAGCAAAGGTAAATTGACCTCACGATAGAACAGAGAGGTAAAACAGATTTGCCCGCGACACGGGTAAAGAAAGGGTCAGTGGCCCATTAGTCCCTGTGTTGAGGCGTTTGAATAACCCCAGGGAACGATCTCCACCAGCCCAGAGACGGGGCTGCCTTTGTCTCTCCCCCTCCGGGCGGCAGCGGGCTCTTGCCGAAGGGGCGAGGGCGGCGAACAAAGGAAAGAAAGCTCTGTCACCGCAGCCGTGCCCGTACAGAAGGTGCCCGGCGCCCCTGCCCGGCCCGAGCAGGCTCCCCTGAAGGGGACGCTAAATAATTGATCATAATCTATTGCCTGCGTGCATTGGGAAGAGAAAGCAGGCGCATCCCTTGCTTGCAGCCTGCTCCTTCCCCCATTTGCGCTGTAATCCTATTCCACCATGTGCAGATAGATGAAGGGACGTAATTCAGCCTTCAGGCCTGGGCGGGGTTCTCGCCGTTTAATCTTTTCCTTTCTCTTCCCTTCGCTGCTTTCTTCCCTCCACGCCCCCCCCACCCCCCTTTCCGTCTCCCAGGCCCTGTGAGGTCAGCTCATGAATATTGCTTCATTTTCCTGAGAGGCTCTGGCAGCGGCGGGTACCTCGTGTGCGGTGCCCGGCTCTCCGTGCATGCATTTCGCCAGCCGGGCAGCGGACAAAGTGGTGGTGAGTAATGCAGATGCTTTTTCTTTTCAAAAACAAAAGCCTTTTTCTTTTTGTTCCCCTTCTTCTTTTCTATTTTTTTTTCCCCTGCAAGGAAATAATATTCCTGATTCAGATGCGTCAAACCCGCCAGGTATGAGGGGAGACCTTCAAAAATCCTCTCCGCTCCTTTAAACCAGGAAAAAAGGCAGACGCGCTCCCAAATCTTAAGCCGCGTTTGCGAATTCTCGGCGGGGCAGAGGCGGGCGCCCGATAGGACGAAAGGACCGGGGGTCGGGGGGATGCCCTGCCCGAAGTTCCGGGCACGGGATATCCCCGCGCTGGCCCGTGGAGCCACCGGACCGCTCCCTTTTGTTGCTTCCATTTATTTACCCCTTTTTTCCGCCTGGACAGCTGTTCCCGACAGGAAAACCTGCGGAGACGCCGCGTCCCGGCGCCACGTGGGTTAGCCTCTGGGGAGAAGGTCGAGCTGCGGAGTTTTGTGAGGACAGAGATTTCGGACTTGGTCTCAAACGGGGCTTTGGCTTTCTTTGTGCCAGCTAAAAATATATATAAATGCATGTGTATATATATATTTATCTAAAATCAGACAACTTAACCGTAGGCGGTAGCCGAACTTGGATTTTGGGGCATGCAGGGTAGGGGTTGTTTTCTGGCAGGTCGCGGTTGAGTCTGATGTCTTAGTTGCAGTGAAAGTTCCCTAAAAGATTCAGGTACAGCGTAGGGTTCCTGATGATTAATTTCAATTACATTTCTTCTATTTCATACCTGTATAGCTTCAAACAACGGTGGGGTGGGAATTCTGTTTGTGGTGGCTAAGAGAAATGCAAAGCAATTCTTTTATAAAGTGTTGTCATACAAGTTTTATAGCTCTAAACTCCCATGCTTTTTTTGTTCTTCTTTTACTAATTAATGCTTGGGAAGTGTCTGCCAAATTGTGTCATTTTGAGCATTAATTTCCAGAATATTGGTTTAAATCAGGTTATTAATGACAGTGCATTTGAGAGGAAATGAGATACTCCTGCCAGTGAGAGCAGAGCAAACACAGCCTCATTGTCTAGTATGTTCCAGGGAGTAAACCAATTGTCAGAGCATGGTGTAATTTCTGCATTGATTTTGCCCAGTAGTGCTTCTTATTTCCCGTTCTAGCAGGGAATGGTTAAGCCATGTTCTAGGTGGGAATGGGCAGGCCATGTTAGGAATGCTGTCATTTTTGCCGTTGCCCGTGTTTTCTCCCTAAGGAGAGTTGAATAAAGGGTGTGTGAAAACAGTTTGTGGATCATAGCCATTATTTTCAGAATATATTTGGGACATTAGCAGCATGATATGGCTTTTAACAGCCCTTTTTCATAATCTGTTGTGATCATGAAAACTCTGGTTGTGTCATTATAGGAGTAAATTTCCGAGTGAGCATCCTTCAGAGAATGCCACATAACATTTTGTTCTGGGTGAGGGTGCATTCCTTGCTTCCTCTGTTTTGAAAATCTGCTGGAGCGATTAAGTCTGAGTCCTAAATAACCTATCGATCTGCATAACTGATAACAAATATGAATTGGTCTAAATTCTGGCATAACAATCTGGGGCGAATGTGTGTTTAGAAGCTGATTGCAGAACCCCTTTCCTTTATGACCCTCTGTTCCCGAGTCACCTTGCCCCGGAAGAGTCGCTGTCAAAGCTGAAGGGAAATCTGTAGTCGCTTCCACGTGTGCAGCCCTTTGTACAGTAGCTTTCCCCCACCCGGCTGTGATAGACACTGGGACGAGGCCTTTCAGCAGGCAGACATCTGCATTAGCAGCCCAGGCTTGGTGGTGAGGACAAGGGAGAGGGAAGTTTGCGCGTGGAAGGAAATTCATCCTTGCTGTGGCGGCTCGGCGGGGGAAGGCTTGGCATCAGGGCTGGGGAAACGCCCCTATGTGCAGGCGGAGTGGGAACAGGTCTGTCTTAGCCGAGCCCTTCGGGCCCTTCCGTGAGCCGCTCCGGTTGGCTCTGGGCTGCGGCCTCGGCCGGATTCTCCCCGGCCGCTCCGGGGGACCGCTCCGCCCGCAGGTGGGCGCGGGTCAGGGCTGGGGGCGGCGGGGAGCGGGCAGGCTGGCCCCGCCGTGCTCGGGAAGCCCGTCTCCCCGTCCTCGCCGTCCCCACCCCGACCGCTTCTCCTGATCTCCTCCCCCAGCTCTCGGGGCGGCGGCGGAGGAGGCGGAGGACACCGCCGGTGATGGACGCGTCCCCGAGATAGCCGCCGCCATGAGCCAGCCGCCTGCAGGGGGCGCCGCCGCCGCCGAGCCGCGCCTGCATCCCGAGGGCAGCAGCGGCAGGAAGCAGCCGCGGGCATCCTCGCCGGCCCGGGCCCGCGACACCGCCCCGCGCCCGCCGCCCAGCGCCGCCAAACCCGCGCCCGCCGCCGCCAAAGCCGCCTCGGCGCGGCCGCCGCCCGGCCAGGCCTCCCGAGCCGCCCGCGGCCGCGGCACCGAGAGGCCGGCGCGGGGAGCTGTCCAGCCCGGCTCCGGTGCTGAACCACCGCCCGCCGCCGCCGGGAGAGGAGCAGCCGCCGCCGCCGAGGAGCCGCTGCCGCCGCCGGGCGCCGCCGAGGAGGCGCCCCCTGCAGGGGGCGGCGGGGGCGAGCGGGAGGGGGCGGCGGCGCCGCCGCCCAAGCAGTGGCGGGGGAAAGCGGGGCGGTCCCCGCTGAAGGGCGCGGGGGAGGCGGCCCCGGCGCCTCCATCTTCCTCGGGCGCGGGGAAGGGCCGCGGTGCGGCGGCGGGCGGCGGCGGCTACTGGAAGGAGGGATGCCTGCAAAGTGAGCTCATCCAGTTCCACCTCAGGAAGGGGCTGGCGGCGGCCGCCCAGATGCAAACCAAGGGCAGCAACCACAGCAGCGGCAGCTCTTCCTCCGCTGCCTCCGCCGCCTCCGCGGCCGCCGCCCCCGCCGAGCCTCCCCCGGCCGCCTCCGCCTCCTCTCCCGCTGCCATGGCGGCGGCCGGGGCGGAGGGGCTGCAGCAGGGCGAGACGGAAGGCGACGGCAGGAGCTGCGGCCCCGAGGGAGCCCTGAGCCCCCACCTGCAGGAGGAGATGGAGGAAGAGATGGAGAAACTGCGGGAGGAGAACGAGAGCCTCAAGGTGAGGAGCCGGGGCGGCGGCGGGGGTGGGGGAGAAGAACCAGGGTCGGGCGGGAGCCGGGCTGCCTCCCGAAGGGAGAACCTTCCCAGACTCCCTCTCTCGCGGCAGGAGCGCTGGAGGCAGCGTTAAGATGGCTCTGTCGTGGGGCGTACGGGCAGTGCCACTTCCCTGCTTCGCTGCGGTGCTTATACTGAGCTGGATTGTATTTACATGCCGTCCCTGTGGGGTGGAGCTCCATTTTGGCTGCCTTCCCCTATACGTGCTGACATTTGTGCTTCTGACCCACCTGTTGCATCCCTGTCCCCTTCTTGCCCCTGTGCTAGAACGAGATAGATGAGCTGAGGACAGAGATGGATGAGATGAGGGACAGTTTCTTTGAGGAGGATGCTTGTCAGCTTCAAGAAATGCGCCATGAACTGGAGCGAGCCAACAAGAACTGCCGGATCCTTCAGTACCGGCTGCGCAAGGCTGAGCGCAAGAGGCTCCGCTACGCCCAGACCGGCGAGATCGACAACGAGCTCATACGCAGCATGGAGCAGGACCTCAAGGTACAGCCGTGAGCAGGTGTCAAAGGGAAGGGAGCGTCTCAGATGGAGACTCAACTGTGGTCTTGGTCCTCATGACTCAGGCCTTTCCATCCATTTCACTGTGCACTCCATGCAGCTCATGGAATAGCGATGGCCAAGCAACTCTTGGTAATAGGAGCCCTTACTGTGTGTAGATAGGCTATTTTCAGCTTCAGTCCTATCATTTTTTGTAAAGGTAACGTGCAAGGAGTTACTCAAAAGCAAATTAGGAGCTAAAGTTTTTGGACTCTTTATGATGAGTGCAATACATACCCTTCCACTGCAAAATTAAACCAACCTCACCAAGCATCCCCATTGACTTTGAGGGGATTTTGTCACTCTTTAGTGAAAGATTTTAGGGGGGAAGCAGATTGAATACTTGCAGTCACACTAAATCCTTACTCTGTTGTTGTCAGTAAAAAAACTGCTGTTATGCTCAATGAATCCAGGGTTTCTCATATCCACCTGAAACCTTAGACAAAACCCATCAAATTTCAGTGTGTCATCAACTGCATTTCATCCATAAGATCTGAATGAACCACAGCCCATTGCTGAGGAAAAGTTTCAGTCCTTGTTTAAAGATTGTCCTTGAAAAATACCCATCATCTCCATTCCAGATTGGTCCAATTACAGAAAAAAACCAAACCTTTCTTGACATGGAAGTTTAATTTCTGCTTCCATTCATTAGGTATTGAAGGACTCCTGCTGAAACATTCTTCAGTTGACTGGTCTCCCATGGAAGTGCAGACCTCTATATAGCAAATGTGAGCTTTATTTGCCACACTTTTGCCTGGGACTCTAGTTACTTATGGCACAGGGACTCTGTGGGCTGCAGTTTGAAATGTGAACTTAATATATGATTACAAACAAGGTTATTTTTGAACTTATTTGTGATAAATATGAAGTATGAAGAGTATGTTATTCCCAGGCCTGATTTGGATCACCTTTTCTGAAAGTTTTTAAGCTTGTCATCATTATTCTTAAAATTCCTATTTGATATGCCTTTCTTGTGCATACTCAAAACCCACGTTTTCTGTTGTGGCTGTGACAGTTCTATAACTACTGTCCCGTGTTCTATAAATACTGTCCCAAGCTGCCCATGTGGTTCTTGGCAAAATAGAGTCTCACTGATCAGAGGCAAAATCACACCCTTTTCATGGGGATTTCTGTTTGAAACAAAGGATATGAGTGATGCTTAGAATGATGCTTAGGTGATCAGCTGAGATACACACATTTACAGGCAGAATTTGAAGGTGGGCCTTCATATCCCAAGTGAATTGTGATTCCAGTTTATAGAATTGGCTTCTTTGTTGGCTATGTTACTTTTATTAGCAAGTCATACACATGCAGGCTGGGGAGGGAATTGTTGAGAACACCTCTGCTGAGGTGCTTGTCTGCCAATATAGTTGATAGAAGCTAAGGCCTTGGATTTAGCTGGACAAAGAGCTTGATTTAATTAGCTTTTCTCCCATGTGTTTCCCAGTGTGACTGACTCTTTGGAAAGGAGCAGTGTTCTTGCAGAGTGTCCTCACCGTTCACAAATGTGCTCTGCTTTGGAGTTAGGGATGAATGGAGTAGGATGAATGTTATTAGGCAGATGAAATTTCTGCCTAATAGTGTTCTGTGTGCTGGCTAACCATAATTATAACTCATGTGTAGTTTTCTTTAGTGTTTCCAAGTCCTTTTCTGAAGAAAGACCGTCCAAATTGACACTGTTCATTTTGCATTGCTTATTTTGCAATATATTGGGGAACTTGGTCCTTCAGAGATACAGTCTTGCAGAGAGCTGTATTAAAATGTATCTTACATATGCCTATATTAAAATGTGTCTTGCATAAGTGAGTCCCATTTACCATGTGATCTAGAATGCTCTGTATTTTTTCCTGCATTAATAGTCACTCCACCAAATTTTGTTTCAAAAAATTAGCTACCAGTAATGATATTACAATCTGGTTTTGTTTACTGATCCAGACTATATCTATAGACTGAAGAGAGGTTCTGTTTAGGGTGCTGTTTTAAATATCCCCCGTGATTTTCCATTTACTTTGGTTGGACAACCAGATGAACAGTTTAATACTAAGTGTAGGAAAAGACATCAAGCTAAAGCCCTGTGGTGTGTTTTTCAGCTCATTCTGCAGTCTCTTTGGACTATGGTTATAATTGAAATTCCCCTCCACTCACTCTTTCTGTTGGGCATTATGTGTCTTGAGTGCGTGTGCAGTGGGGGAGGTTATTGAATGATCTGGTGCCACACTGCAGTGTTGTATCTGTAATTCACACACACTGGGTTTCTTGTCAAGGGAGGCTGAGTCACTAGCTGCTGCTGCTTTCTGATAGATTGGATCTTTCTAGATGCTTGCTTACAGTTATTATTTTTTTCTCTAGAGTTTTTGTATGTCAAAGAACTTCTGACATACTAACAAAAAGATGGTTTGAGTGAAAGCCATGAAGGACAGCTTGCTGAACTCCCCTAGCTAATGCTAAGTAGGATTAATTATGCTTTCCAGTGTTCTAAAAAAGGCAGGAAATGAGGCTTTTCAAACTCTGTGTCTGTGTCTAAATCACCATCAACACAGTGATTAGTGTATATTTAAATATTTTTGGTGTGTGATTATAGTTTCTGGTGGTTTCACAAAATACAGTGCAAGTGGCTTGCAGGGCAAGATTCTCATTACTTTTCCTGAGGAAGAGGAATTAGATCTTGTCATATGCCTTTTAACTCTATTCCTGTGAAAATGCATAAAAAAACCCCAAAGAACCAGAAACCTTAGTGTTCATTTTCATTGAAATTATTTGACATCATTTGTGTGAGCACAACATCAGTAAAAATGTTGTTTGTTCATATTTTAATATTAAAATGAGCCAATAGGAGTAAATATTTTCATTAATTGTCCACTGAGGAGAGAGAAACTAGCAGAGTCAAAATAAACATGTGTCCATCTGGGTCACAGGTAGACACAGGTAGGTAAGGCCTGGAGAAGACGGGCCCTGCTTTTAGATGCTGTTGCACGTCAAGTATTTGAAGGGCATGTGCTTTAGTGCAATGAAAAGCATAAGCTGGCTGTGGTTGAGAGTAGATAGATGATGCACTGTCTCCAAAAATAGTGAAGATCCTGTTTAACTGTTGATGTCACAGAACCTAAGAAGGAGTTGGAGTTTAATGTCTGATGTTTCCAGTGAAGCCCATAGGGATAACATACCACTTTTTGGAAGGAATTGGCTTGAATTTAGAATTATTTAAAATTCTGTCTGTGGATGTCCTTGTCTACCTGTTTCCTTACATGCCTCTCTCTTCTATCAAAACATCCAGAATTAACTTCTAAATGGTTGCTTAGGCACTAAGCACAGCTGCAGTAATTTTTTTTTTTTAACCTTTCTTTTGATATACCATTTCATTTAGGTTGCAAAAGATGTATCGGTGAGACTTCATCATGAGTTAGAAAATGTGGAAGAAAAACGTACTATAACAGAAGATGAAAATGAAAAATTAAGACAGCAGCTTATAGAAGTTGAAATTGCCAAACAAGCACTACAGAATGAACTGGAAAAAATGAAAGAGGTTAGTGTTGTTATTTACTTCTACACCAATTATTTTAAGATCTTAGATTCTTACTATAGAACTGTTTTTCTTCTACAACTTGTTTTTGGGGGCAAACAATGTGGCAGTCAAAAGCTGGAAGTTGCAAGGAGTGCTAAAGTACAACTTGATGATTGCAAAGCTGAGAAGAAATGAAAATATTTGGTGTTTTCTAGGCAAAACAGGAACGAAGCGGTACCTTTTTTTCTCTCTCTACTAGGAGGAAAATGTGAAACTAGTGGTAACGAGTTCAGAGACTTTGTTACATTTTACGTACATATATATTCATACAGGAACTGTGCTCAAGTGTGTAAGAGTTATCTAACTTTACAGATGATGTTTCCCACAGGTTTTTTACCTGTGACCAGTAGCCAATAGTTTTTCCCTTGCTAACTACTACTAGAGACAAGCAGACACACTGAGGCTGGGGATCTAGCCACCTCCCCATCTTGTTCAGTCATGCTCTTTGGAGAGCTGGGAAGTGAGAGACTCTTCCTGGCTTTTCAATCTAAGCATAATTTTTCATTGTATCTAATTAATCTTCAAAATTACTCCAGCTGCCATTATATAGATGTAAGATACTGTGCCATTAAGTAAGCAGAAAATTGCATTACAGCAGTAATAGCCAGGCTGACAGAGATAACAAAGCAGCAATAAAAGAAGAAACTGTTGACTAAGAGTGACTTCTCAGAAGAGATTTTAAAAACATCTCTCCTGTTTCCTGCTCAAGATTTAAAATTCATGCCCTTGATTTTCACTTTTAGGAATATACCCTAGTAGGAACACCAGTGTCTTCTTTGATCTTGTATGAAGCAGAAGAGATGTATTTCAGTTGTCAAGAAAGGCAGGAAATTTTCAGTTGTATGATGTTAGAGCATTTTTGGAAACTGCAAATGAGTCCTTTAAGTGATGCAGTATTAAAAATATTCAAATGGTTTTTTACAGGAACTGAACTCCTAGCATGTTAGTCGATGTTAAACAGGTGGTTTGTTCCACCTTCTGCTGCCTTCCCAGATAACTGCTGATTTTAAAAGGGCATGAAAAAAATCTAAGCCATAGTTAGGTTTCCCCTCATCTCACTGAAACTTTCACCTTCTGTTTTCTCTCTGGTTACTGCCATTAAATAGGGCTTGGTTTCCTGGACTAGCCTCTTGATGAGAGTATGATCTTTCTGTAATAATCCTTATAACTTGTCTTTAAGATTGGCTTTACTCCAAGTTTTTTGTTATTCTTCTCCATTAGACTCTACTTTCTTTCAAGTTCTCATCTCTGGTTCCTCCTTCTCTCTAATAGGTTATGCTGCTATAAAATTCTTTTGCCTTTCTTTTTTGAAGCATCTTCAGATTGCAGTCATGTTCAGTGGCAATTTAATAGCTTGTGTTCTTTGATACTAAGCCAGTTAATGGATTTCTTCATCCCTGTCATCACTAGTCACTTTCTTCTTATCATGGTTCCTCCCTCTGGCCCACAATGCAGAACTACGATTCTGTTGCTTCCACACTGCTCTCCACTTCTTTCTTTGTCTTAAGTGTTTAGCCATTTCTGGTCTAGCTGTTGGTATCAATGAAAGGGTGCTGGAGACTCCAGAAGAGATGGTGTGGTGTTCAGTGTCTCTGTTACACAGTAATGGTTTTCATGAAGCTGAAGCAGATGGATGATTCCCAGTGGCACTGAACGGGGGCACTGAGCCAGAATGAAAACGTGAAGTAAGACTTGACACCATAGCAGGGGTGGAGTGGACAGAGGGTCAGAAATGCAGCCTTATACTGAAGTAGGGAGAACTGCTTAGCACAGTCATTATATGTGTCATCATAATTAGGGAGGATTTATGTATTTCAAATAGGCTACTGAGCTGCTTTCAGCGGGTGAATGCTGCTTTTCAGGCCAGGACTTTCATCACAGCATGGGGGAAGTTGGAGGATAGTTGAAGAGGTACAAATCAGACAAAAAACAAGTTTGAAGCAAAGCCAAATTACTGTGCGCTTTGCAAATAAACCATGGCTTGGGAGACCCATGGAAACATGCTGGTGAAGAATACTAAATCTTATAGAATTGAAATTTAGAAATGAAAACAGCTGAAAGCAGTCTGCATTAGAATTTTTCCATGACAAATAATTTTTCTTCTCTGGTAATTGAAAGTTTCATGCGTTTAAAATGTCATTGTCAGATAGTCATAATGTTAATTTTCTGTTTTCTTGTGAGTTATTTCCTCTAATTTCATGGATTTGCAACCCTTTCTCATTTCAATACAGCCATTATAACCAATGGAACCTGCTGCTTAAGGGAGTTCTACTCAGCTTAAATTGAAATACGGGGAAAACTTCTTGTCTGGATTGTGATCTTTGCTTTATTGAGCTTAGAATAAATGGGAAAGTATCTCTCTAAGGACAAAGAACCATTTTTGTTTCACAACATAGTAAAAATGCTTGGAGATGTAATGATAGATTTCTGTACTTTTGTCATCAGATGTACTGCAGAAACCCAAACCTTTCTGTTCTTAAAATCTATTTCTGTACAACTGCCATGTGAAATTTCTTATTCTTTTATAATGAACAGTGTGAGATAGCAGAGAATTAAAATAACACTTAATAGAAAATGTAAGAAGGAAAGCAAATTTTTTTGGTAGGTAGTCTCCAGGGCGGGACCAAAGCCAAAGTTCTCTCTGTGTGGATTCTCTGTTGTTTCAAAAATCATGGAGACTTGACTGAAAACATGTCGAAAAGATAAAAGCTAGCAGATGTGTTGGTTTAGAGTAAAATCTGGAGTTCTCCAGTGTACATTTGGGTGAATAAAGACATGTGAATGTATTTGTCCATTAATATAAAGAGGTAATTGCTGTTTGCCTTCTTGATTTGGAGCTTTTGGAAAAAAAAAAATAAAATTCTGCATCAAATTAGAAATTGTTGTTGATGGCAGCAGAAGCTTGCAATCATCCGGGATTTGGAAGGTGTTCCAGCTATGCATACATTTTCTATGAGTTGTTTTTGTTTTCAGTCCCCCAGACTGCAGCTATTTGATTGAAAGTTATTCCTGGATATGTCCACACAGACACACAAGGTTTTTAATCTTTGTTGGTTTTATTTGTGGCAGCTGCAGCTGATTTTGTCTTTAGTATTGTTTGCTATCAACTGTGATGCTTTTTGGGAAGCCGAAAGCAAAGTAGAGGAATTGTTTCCTAGCAGAAAAGATAAACCAACAGTAGCTAGACATAATTTTTCAGATATTAAAAAAATTAACATGCTAATAGTAATGAACATGTTGTTCATTGATTAATTAATTAATTAACTTCCATTAATATGTTGCTAACAGGTAAAGCCCGACTAATGCTTGCAGACCTTTCTGTATTCATGACCTGAAAATTAATTTGCTGTAGCTACGCAGCGAGCACCCAGTTAGCTGCGCTTTGGTGATTCCTTGTGAGAGAAATGAAGTAGGGGGAAAATCTGATAGATGTACTGGACCCTGGGCTTTACAAATTCTCATTGCAATGCAGACATGCACTTGCAAGAAGCCCAGTGTTTTTTGGGGACACGTGTCTCTGGATGGGTACAGATTGCTCTGCTACTGCTCCAAGCTAGGCAGATGCAAGACAGCTCGGTTTTACAGCCACTTTAGGGTAATGCTGTCAAGCCACCATTTTCTTCTTCTAAGCATAGACTTTCAGTTCAGATACAGAACATGTGATAACAGTGGCACATGAACCAGAGGTGTCTTTTGTCCCTTCAGTTCAGACTGCAGGCAGAGGAGTCTATCCCTACGTGGATCTGTGTTTTGCTGTCGTGGTGCCTGCCTTATCAATCTGGTTCATACGCTGCATGGAAATGCAAGAAAGCAACAGGATCTGGGGAACTGGGCACTGGACCTGGGAGGGGAAGAATCTGAGTTCTGTTCCTTATTTTAACACTAACCTGCTGTGTGATCACAGGAAAGTAATTAAACTTTTCTGCTTACTCTTGCAACCTTTGCCTGCCCCGTTTTAACACAGATTAGCTCTTTATACATCTCTGCGTGTTCAGGCTGCATATACATCAGAAGGATGGGTGGAAATTTCACCACAAAAGCTGCTGTAAAAAAACCCCAGAGAACTCCAAATTCTTCCCCCCTCAACCCTGCAAAATACAACCAAACAAAAACAACAATAAAAACAAACAAACAAAAACCCAAAAAAAACCCAAAAAAACCAAACCACCAAAAAAACACCTCAAACCAAAAACCCACACTGCAGAAGGTCTGGTAAGATTCTGTCCCAGTCCCCCTGGTCACCAATATCAGCTTGCCTTGCTTTTCTAGGATGAAAATCCAGTATATATTCTTTCTTGTAACCCTTTCTTTCTTTAAACCCCTTCTCCTGCCATTTAACCACAACCACTTATTTCAAGTCTTTCTTCTATAACTCAGTCTCACATTCTCCAGATTCTTTCACTTAGTCTTGATCCAGTATGTATGATCTTCTCCTTTCTCCTTTCTCCTTTCTCCTTTCTCCTTTCTCCTTTCTCCTTTCTCCTTTCTCCTTTCTCCTTTCTCCTTTCTCCTTTCTCCTTTCTCCTTCCTCCTTCCTCCTTCCTCCTTCCTCCTTCCTCCTTTCTCCTTTCTTTCTTCTTTCTCCTTCTCCTTTCTTTCTTCTTTCTCCTTCTCCTTTCTTTCTTCTTTCTCCTTCTCCTTTCTTTCTTCTTTCTCCTTCTCCTTTCTTTCTTCTTTCTCCTTCTCCTTCCTTTAGCTTTTTTGCTTTTTCTTGTTTTCTCTTTTTCTTTTTTTCTTTCTCCTTTTCTTTCTTCTCCGTTTCTTTTTCTCTTTTCTTATTTTTCTCTTTTTCTTGTATGTCTAATAGTTGTTTTGCTGTCTTCTAAGTCCCAGTCTTGTCCTTCTCTCCCTCCATTCCTTCCTTCCTTCCCTGCATCCTTCCAACTCTTCATGAGTGTCCAGTCTCCTCTCTGGATTTCAAGAGTTTTCTAGTTCATTTTGCTCTTATTCTGATTGAAATA